AGACGTTCTGAGCCACATGCTTTCATTAGAAGACTGGGAATAAGCCCACGTTGAATATTTTTAAGGCATATAAAACAACGGTGAAATGATGTAGTCCTCTGCAAAGTTAGCAGCACGTTTGCATTACCTTGCATTGCGTTTGCCTGCGGCTCTAACGGGCGGGCTTCTGCTTTTATGAACCCCACGCTATATTGAATTTCCTTCAACGAGATTTAACGTGGGAAATAGATCCTCAAATATCACTCATCTGGCTAGCTTTTTTTTGCCACTAGAGGTACCTGGCCCTGCAGGTAATGGTTCCGTATCTACCACTCGAGGTCGCTGGTCTGCAGGTGGGGGTCCGCGCCATACAGTTAACGAATGCTGTGCGCAGCCCTTCTCCGCGTGCCACAGCGGCGCTCCCGCCAACCGGCGCCTGACACCGCCTCTGTCCGTGTTTCAGCTAACGCAGCATGACCGGCCTGCTGAGCTCGCCGGTGCCGCCGCCCGCCAACGGCACGCTGAACGCCACGGCCGCCAAGACCGCCTACCTGCTCGCCGTGCATGAGGAGTCGCGTGTTTACGCCGTCGTCTACGTCTGCGTCGTGCTCTTGTGCTACACGGTCAGCATGTCGGTGCTGCTGACGCGACACTTTCGGCGCGCCGAGAACCAGCCCCGCCTGGCCGTACTCTACCAGGCCATCATCAACAGGACAGCGTCGCTGCGCAGGCGCCGTACCGACGACGCCGCGCCGCGCGCAGCCCCCCAGGTGGTGGTTCATGAACCCGAACTGTCGCCGTCACCGTCGGGCGGCGCTAGTAGGCCGGCGCCCGCCGAGCGCCGCTGGAACGGCTGTGCGCCACCAACAAGCGTGGACGAGATAACGAAGGAGCCGGCGGGCGGCGACAGCTCCCCGGCAAGGACATGCGGACGAGTGTATATGGAAACCGACTTTTGATCAGACCTGTGTCAGGCATCAGGCATCAGGCATCGACATTCCATCCGCGTGCACTATTACACGAACGGATACCCGTGCATGTCCATACAGAAGTGTGCGTTGATATGTTTGTGGGGTCAGGGAAATTTGATAGCTGTATGCATACATCAGAGTATGCTTATTGACAGGGTACATGGTCCATGTGCTGCAGCAAATATCACCGTTGCGCAATGCACCTATATGCGCGCAGATTTTTGACAGATGTCGTGATTGGACGAGCCATCGGCTCCTGATCGTTCGGTGTTTTGAACACACACCCTTTTGGGATCCCTTGTAATGATCCGTGATAGAGTCCTTGATCGAATGTGTACGCTGTCTTGACGAATATTGACGAGCGTGTGAGAAATGGGTGTACTTATTTGGTCCAAATAAAACACATCGTCCGCACGTAGTCGTTAGGTCGCCGCATATTTGAGAGGCTCAGGGCGATACGCCATCATCTGGGAACATCTGGCCATGGCGGCGGCAGTTTGCGGCGTTATATTGCACAGAAAATGCGGCGAGTTCATGGAGCGAGCAGCACTGGCCCGGCGTTTCTGAATGAGGCCCGAGCCGTTGGAACGGCAGGCGGCCGCCATCGTGACGAACTTGGCTGCCACAGCTCATCAGAGGCCATCGCTAACTAACCAAGCTTTGCTTTTGGTCCCGGTGAGCAAGAGGGTAGATTCTCAGTGAAGCTCGCGTAAATCCCGACCGCTCTGTTGCCCTACGTATTCTCTTTTTGTCACTACATCACAAGCGCTGTATTCCGCGGACGCTCCGGAGCCCTGTGCTGGCGTTTGATATTGCTCTCACTAAGCACAGCTGTCACGGCAGAATTGCTTGATGGCAGCGCTGCGCTGTAAAAAAGAGAACCTGAGAATGCCTCGCTTGTAGCTTAGCCCTTATGAAAGCTGTGGGCCTTTATTTTAGCAGGATGACTGTGTGAGACCAGGCCTACAGTTGCAAGGTGAACCTCAGCCAAGGGATATCAGCACCTCCCGTATCAATTCATCCCATGCAGGGGAATGCGCGATCTGTTCATGTCATTGCGGCTGAACACGCCACATTTTAGCTGCGGTGACCTAAGCGTGTCCACCAAATGTCCAGAAGAAGGCTGCCTCGGTCCGCGAGTCTCTGCTTCAGGTCTGGTCGCGGGTACACTGATACAGAGGGAGGTGCCATCGGGCCCTGGAGCGGGTCAGACGCCAGGGCTCTGGACCGGTGCGGCTGACCCACCAGCCTCGCCAGGTCCCAGGCGTGCCACGCGGGCGCTTTAGTAGAAAAGCTCGCAAACTTTCTGTCCTATCGCTGGCACCGCCTGCTAAGCCGATCCATTTTTCAGCCCGGATCACCCTTTTACGGCGGCCGCGGCTCCAATTGGTTTGCATCAGCGATGCAGAAAATCACGGGGTATATTTGGCTACTGCCGGCTTCAGTTGAAGAAGTCAGTTTTTAGGCATTGGCGGAAATCGGACAGCAAATAGTACGAACAGCGACGAGATGCCGAGACTGGTTACTGCGTGACCATAACGGAGCCTTGCCGGTGAGTACTTGGCCTCCAGAGCAGAGCGCAGCACAATCCGGCACACAAATATAAATCATTAAAAGAAATAATCCACATTTGATATCAAAGCATTAGATATGACAAAACAAGCTCGCTTATGATAACTGGATGCTTTTAAGTGGGAGACTGCTCTAGACATTTCTCTATTAAAAAATATGCTCCTCAATACGCCCGTATTTGATTGCGTCAAGGAACATTTTGTGACAGCCTAGGCTAGACGTGTTCGCTGAACCAAATTTTGTTATGTGGTCGTATTTTCGCTCTTTGTTGTGATGTTCGATTGCAAGTCGATTCCATAATAACAAGAAAGAATGTACAAGGATCTCCGGATGGCATTGAAATAGCCTGCACGAAAAAGGCTGCACATCTTTGCGGGCGCGCAGGTCAGAAACTGGAGGGTTTTAGGTCTGGAGGGTTGGAAACTGGAGGGTTTTAGAAATGCAGGGCTGTGAAGTACACCGAATGATCTCCAAGATGGCTCGTTCAGTTCAAAACGCATACAAATGTGGAACACCCCCTTTAATGTAGGTCGGCAGCTTGGGTCCCTACACTAAGCTGAGGTGGCACCAACTAGGATGTCGATATTGTCTGTTTTTAAAGGAGCTTTGCTGTTGAAAAAAGCTGTTGACGTTAGCGGAACAATGACGTAAGCACCATTAAAGGGAGTGCTCCACATTTGTATGAGGTTTTGAACTGAAGTGGTAATCTCGAAGGTCATCTGATGCAGTTCACAGCCCTGCCCTTCCTAAGACCCCAAAACCTCTAGTTTCTGAGCTAAACGCCCGCGAAAATGTGCAGACTACATCAAGGTCATTCAGACATGCATGGCGCGATAAAAGCGTCATTCAAATTCTGGCATCCCATTGGCCATGCGGCATTCAAGGCCAATAAGAAAATAATCGTCGAGTTGTCCGCACTCTGCGTTCGTGAGCACGATTTCCAGACATAGCAGACGTCAACTGGCTCTAAATCAATGTTGTTCAGACCGTCCGTGATTCAAACACGCATCACGTTTTTGGCACTGATAAGTTAGAAATGCTTGCTTGTTATAACAGAAATAATCGTGTAACCGAATAACCTGAGGAGCCATATTACGGAGTATGTGAATACAAGTTAACATCTTGAACTCACAGGTGCAAGATCACGAAAAGGGCCAAAACACGGACAGAGATTAAATCATTAGACATTTGTCCTCCGTGCTGGGGCAGCAATTCCACACACCTAGTTTGGAAACGCTTTAAGGTCAACTAAGCCTTCCGTGACGCCTTAAGGAACATATTTGCTAAAGCGAAATTGCACCAGTCAAAGCGGTGTTTTCCATTTACAATTATACTGACAGCTATAAGTGAGCTTATTTCATTATATCTGATGCTTGATTCAATATCTTCAAATGCGAACCATTCAGTTTAAGACACCGGTTTTGATACCTTTTCACTGTGAATCTAGGAGACGAAAATATCACCTCTGCGCAATATATCTTTTCTCTTTATATCACACGAAAAACGACTAAAAACACAGTGTCTTAATGTTCCAACTTCCGAGTTTCAAGCATGACTTAAAAAGGCATCACATAATACGTGTTTTTCTTTACGAGTTTTACACCAAACCCACCCACGCGTTACCGAACATATCTTCGTATGGTGAAAACGTTATTATCATTTTTTTAACCGTTTTTTCAGACTTAAAAACTCCCGAAGTCATATGTTGCCGCTTTCCAGCTCGTGTCTCCCGTAAAGCTGAATGAAGACCCATGTAAAGACCCATGTAAACGCAGACTGCACAAGACTGTAGCAACGCTAAGAGCTTGCCCCTGGCCACATCAAACATATGGAACGAGTTGATATGGCATGCGGCAACGTTCTGCACATGATACACGGTTTGTGGACATTGTCAATCCCCCATCCCTACGGTGGTGGATGGCTGCTGTGTGTAGTGGAATAATTTGTGTGTGTGTGTGTGTGTGTGTGTGTGTGTGTGTGTGTGTGTGTGTGTGTGTGTGTGTGTGTGTGTGTGTGTGTGTGTGTGTGCGTGCGTGCGTGCGTGCGTGCGTGCGTGCGTGCGTGCGTGCGTGCGTGTGTGCGTGCGTGCGTGCGTGCGTGCGTGCGTGCGTGCGTGTGTGTGTGTGTGTGTGTGTGTGTGTGTGTGTGTGTGTGTGTTACGACGCACTCAACTGCTGAGGCTATGTGGCGTCGCTTGTCTCTCACCCTGGCAGGAAAAGCGGGCACAGGGTGAATGGAACCACATACCTCTGGTTTCCCAGACGCGCAGTGGTTAGCGCAGACGCGTTAACCACTACACTACCGGCACCCGGATGGCTAAATAATTAACCTGGAGTAAGCGTTACCTCCTCCCACGCTGGTGCACACCTAATGACCCAGTTGACACGTCACACGGCCCACCCACCAAGCTCCGGTGCTCCAGTCAGGCACAGCCATCACCCTCTGCGCCGCACACCACCACCAAGCAAACACACGGGCTTCAATCGGTATATATTTGCTCAACTAACGACGTAAGCGGCGCCGGCCACAGATCATGAACGGCACCATTCCAGGTAAGAGCGCTACAGATAGAAGTCCCGTGCCCAAAGCAGTGACGCGGTCAGCAGCGCAGCGTCGCCCGCGCGCCAGCGCGAGCGGCCGGTGCGATGGCGGGCCGGCGCCTCTAGCCGACGGCCGAGGCCACCACCTCGGAGACGGCCGGGTCGGTCGAGCGCACCGTCAGCTGCATGGTCACGCCGTCGGAGAGCGCCAGCCGGGCGCGGACCAGCACCTCGGCGCCGCCCCGGTACACGCCTGCGGCCAGCCGACCGGCAGAACGGTGGTCAGTAACTGGGCACGGTGAGCCACACGGGTGACTTGGGTGGCGGTAGCTGGGTAAGGGCAAGGGTCAGCACGCAAGACCGCGACCAGGTAAGGGTCACCGCGGCAAGACAAGCAAACAAGTCGGTCCAGACGGACACACCGGCGGCCGAAATGTGGTTGGCGACATGGTGCAGGTAAGCGCCTGAGGTAAGCAGGTGACAACGTGACGGCGGAGGGACCACCGGGAGCAGACAGGCACACGACTCAGTGCAAACGGGCAGGACACGGACATACGAACCGATGGCTGGTCAGTGCGGGTGATACAATAATATCTTAAGACCTGGCGGCGGAACAGGCACAAAAACAGACAATCCAGGCCAAGCAGCTAGCCACAGAGGCTCGCGGGCGCCGAGTCGGGCCGCGTCGGCCCCCCGCTCCCGCCGTCCGCTGGGAAGCCGGGTCGACAGCCGGTAATTATATGTATGGGCGGCTATTTGGCCGGCGTCCGGGCCAGCGGCCGGCCTGCCACCGACGCAGCGCTGAATCGCGTCCGCCCAGCCAGCGGCGGGCAGGACATTCATAACCAGCGCCGGCAAACGCACGAGGTCACGGGGCGCCGTAGCGCCACTCCGCTGACGAGACGGCCGGAGCCGAAATACAAAATGGAAAGCGGACGGGTCGGCTATCACACCGCCGGGCGAAGAGCGCGACAGGAGGGAGGGCCGCCGCAGGCAATCTGCCTAAAACCCGGCCCGCGGGAGACATGCGGTGGCCTGGCGCGCGCCGGCGGACGGCCGGCTGACGCAGCAGCAGGCGTCCCGCGGGCTGGTCACAGCGTGTCGCCTCCCTTGAGCCGCTGTCCGTCTCTCCCCTCCCATCCCCCATCGCCACGCGATCACTGCAGTCGGCGGCGGCCGCGGCCGAGATCAAGGCTCGCACACCGCTCGTCACGACGGCGACGGCGACCGTGACGGCGGCGGCGACCGTGACGGCGACATCGGCGGCCGCGGCCGAGATCAAGGCTCGTACACCGCTCGTCACGACGGCGACGGCGACCGTGACGGCGGCGGCGACCGTGACGGCGACAATGGCCAAAACGATCCGTGTTTAGGCGAGACTGCGATGCACTGGAACGGACGGACAAAGCCTAGGGCACACCGCGCAGACCAAACGGCCGGTGGTGGACGGTACGGGAAGGGCCCCAAGCCCTCTACATCTGAAGAGGACAGACGGGAATGACTGGGTGGTGTGGAGGTGAGGTGGGGTGGGGTGGGGTGGGGGGGGGGGGGGCAACTGGGACGCAAAGGGTCGATGCGGAGAGGACTGGGACGGTCTAGCTGGCCGCCGGTCGGTCAGTTGCCACCAGTTGGGCCCTACACAGCCCGGCAAGACGCGATGACTGGTCGCGTCCCGTGGCAGCTCCGGACCGGACCGGCCGCGTCCTGCAGCTCCGGACCGGACAGGCCACGTCCTGTGGCAGCTACGGGCCGGACCGGCGCACGGAGCCACGGCGCCGGGCAACGCACTGCCGCTCAGGGCGCTAGCAGGGCGCCGAATGTCTGCTCTTGTCTCCAACAGTCAATATGTGCAGCATTTTCCCTATCGTGTCTCGCTTGGCCACTGCAGCGGCAGTCTCATACCCGGTGCTCCGCTGACGACAGCGAAATATTTGCGCAATGCACGGGACCGAAAACGAATGGGCGATCCGCTATATTACCAACGGCGTCTTCAATACTTCGGACCTCCCGATTGTGCGACTGCCGATCCGCGGAATCCCGATGTTTTGATTCTTCGATCCGACAGCCCCGAGCAGCATCCTTGCATTGCCACGCACCGACTGTTACGGATTACGGCTGCAATCTCGGGAACGTGTCGGAAGTGCTGCGCTGTGCTAGCCATTGGGCTTACTGAAGCTTTTCAACGTATCTTCGCACGGGAGCCATATTGAAATCCCGGCGTTTTTAAAGCTGCTCTCCAAACCACCTGAGCAGCGTTGGTGAATTTTCTAAACAGGTTCCACATCCTGCCAAATATGTGCTGCCTACATCATCCAGAAGCGACGCCAGCAATGTGTTTTGAAAGGCACGTAAGGTCGGACGGCCGCCTGTTCAGGCTGCTGCCCCGGCCGCAGCTGTACTGTCAATAAGACCGAAACGACCGCCATGTGCACTCATTTTGTGTTCAAATCTGTGCTTATGATTGTATCCTCTCGACTGCTGGCATCACGTTTATCGATGGCGACTTCTATTTTCCGCCCATTTGCACCTCATCAGTCCGCCATTAACGCTTCCGAGCTATTATCACCATTATCACAAAAATATTTCTGACTGCATTTTTTACTGCACAGAACTAATGCTCTAACCGGGTGTCTATACCCTTTTTCATGAAACATGTTTTTCAGATCCTCAAGGCATACCAAACAGGTGGTTTCGTCTCTCTTGCCCCTTCTAAGTACGCCATTGGTCATATTCTTACAGCTTCGAGCGGCCAGAGGAGCGTCCATGCCTCGGAGGTGCAAAATGACCCCAGCTGTCCACGCGCCCGATAGTTCCACTCATCAACCAATCGCCTGAGCCCCGGCCGCCAGTTTGAGCGCTCTAACCAGGCGGACCGATATCTCCAGGCGGAGACGAACCCGATTCAGCGCACGAAAATGGGGCTTATCAGACTTGTGGCACAACTGAAGACGCGAACAACTTTAACGCCCATCTGCGTTTGAGTCCAACGAACTAAGCTCGACCCACGCAGCTTCCTTCCCTGCAAGCGTTGGCCGAGTGGGCCGGCGGCGCGGCGCTCAATGAAGCATGTCCCGGGACAGCAGCAGGAGAGGCGCAGCTCAACACGGACCGAGCCAAGCGGGTATCCTGACGAACGGGAAGGGGAGGCACTCCTGGTCGATAAACGTCCCAATGACAACGAGTCGAGCAGGTTAAAGATGGGTTCGATATGTTTTCATTCAGGCCATGCCGTGACCAAAACGCCGCGCAGCAGACGCTTCTGGGAAGACGAACGCGGAGGCCGCGATCATCACCCGGTAATGTGCTCCGAACAATTAAGTCCATTTCGAAGAAATCCACTAACATGGTTCGTTACGGTCCACCTGCCCTTGGCCCAGGACCCAATCCCACAACAATAAAGCAATTTGAGAACGATTAATCTGGTGCGGCGGACACACGGCGCGTCCCCAGCGACCGCCGCGCTGTACAGGTCGGTCACGCGAGTCCCCTCCTCCGACGCCCACCTGACGACCACAGGACACCGGCAGGTCCGACCGACGGCTCCACTCTGATCTCAAGCTCATCGGCGCCACGCGTTTTGCTCGGCCGCCGCTCCAGCCGGCTGATTGAGCTGGCTTGTGAGCCGGCCAGTCTATTTATTGATAGCCCTTCATCGGGCGGCCGGGGAAGGCCGGCGAGCGGACCAAAGGCGGGACTCGGAGAGTGCTCGCCGACCGCCGTCATGGACGCCAGGCCGGCCACTTCCCGGGACGGCCGCCTGGAGGGTGTGGCCGCGCCAGCTCCAGCACCCTGTGCTCCAGTCCCAGTCGGCCGAGGTTTTGACCCGCACCACGTCCAACTCAGCTCCAGGCCACCGTATCCAGGTCAGCTCCAGACCAGCTTCTGCCAGCCCAGCTCCAGAGCAGACCACCATGTCCGGGTCAGTTCCGCACCAGACCACGCACAGCTCAGCTCCAGACCAGACCACGTCCCAACCAGCTCTAGACCAAATCATGTCAAGGTCCGCACAAGATCCGTTGCGAGCGGTCGGAGTATCCAAAGAACGTGAAGCACCTGCCCCCGGGAACTGAGCGGTCGATGATATCAGCTCGCCACTTCACTCAACAATGCATGACGTTTTTCCTGACTTGCGCTTTGGTGCAAATCTCGACCACATGCAATTGGCCGGTCTTCGCTGCAATGGCATCGCACCTATCATTCATGTTTGCTATCCTTTAATATCTGGGATCATAAGCACCACCATGTGCCACTTCAAATAGCGCGTGCATTTTGCAGCGAGTGCGCCCGAACTTGTTCACCACTGTTGCCGACCCACTTCCGCGTGGTTTTAAAGGAATGAAATCACGACTGTGATCGGCTGCAAACCCCTGCAGGAAGAATTCCGAGCCCTTTCTCCCCAGTCCAAGAACACCATATTCCTTCGACTAACAGCCGAGTAGCCAAGTATAGGAGACCAAAATCTGTCCCGCTGCTTAACCCTATGATGCGTGCTAAGGTGGTTTTAACCCCGAATTGTGTGTCGGACAAAGGCTGGGGTAGGGGTGAGGGTGAGGGCAATTTGTCCCCACCGAGATCTCAGAAACTAAGACAGCTAAGCACAAATTTGCAGGGCGTGCTGGCCTGTATGTGAAGCTACTTGTGTCAAAATTTGAGGTTCCTAGATCACGCCCTTCGGGATAAGGTCAAACAAGGTCAAGCTACAGATTGGTGTACAAAGTGCCCCCAAAACTTCTCATACCACCATCGTGAGCCGAAATACCTGTTTTAAGCAAAGGTCACTAGTGCTCACCCCAGGTCAGTGACCCTGCTTGACCTTTAAAGGTCATGATGATCAAAATTCTACAAGACTACTTCAATTATTTCAATTGAATAAACGTCAAAGATTACAGGAAGGCGGTATACTCCTATAACAAAATGTTGGGCCGAGTCATTCTATAGCATTGACCTACTCTAACCTTTAAGAAGTCCATAGAAGACGCATGATGCGGTCCCTACAATCAAGAAATCTAAAATGAGGGCTAGAAACTATCTCATGCAGAAGGTTCTAGAGAAAAAACCAGCTGATTTTGACCTTGATCTGACTTTCATACGTGACCCAAGGTCAATAGAATTTGTCGATTCAATTTGTCATTCAATTTAGCCGTGATGCCTAAGAAACTATCTCAGAGATGTATGGCTTCGTCTAACACTTCGTTGTTGCATTAGATTGAAGGATTCCCTACAAATTCTCTTCGCAGAATTCCTGGCCTGAAT